TGTGTGTGTGTGTGTGTGTGTGTGTGTGTGTGTGTGTGTGTCCAGTGTCTGGTGGTCCCAGGGTCAGCCGTCCTGGAGAGCTGCGGCAGGAGTACGAGGATGAGGTGACTAAGGTAAGCTCAGTGGGGGCGGGGTTTGATGAGTCTCAGTAAAACTGTATCTGCTCCAGTTGGATCAGAACCGTAGCTGGGTCCAGGTCAGCTGATTACGATGATGATGATGATTACGATGATGATGATGATGATGTGGTCCTCAGCTGATGGAGGAGCGACGGGCGCAGGACGAAGAGGAGAAGCGAGCCAGTGAGGAGCTGATCCAGAAGCTGCTGATGGAGGAAGAGGAGCTGCTACAGGAGGAGAGGAGGAGTAAGGARGAGGACGAGCAGCTGGCCCGACAGCTCAGCAACCAGCTGGTCAGTGCGTGATGATGTCATCATGATGTCACCTTTCATGGCTTGTCTTAACTCCTCCTCCTTCCACAGAACTCGCAGGAAGTCCTTCATGTCTCCATCGTCACTCCGGCCAAGAAGACAGGGGTGGTGGTGGGAAACATGGACAGGTCCGAAACCCAGACCGGGTTTATTCTACCTGACAGGTGACAGGAAGTGACAGTTTGTTGTTGTTTACTTGTTTGTTTGTTTTCAGYTTTCTGTGTCCTCGAGCTCCTCAGCCCATCTGCACCTCCAGCTTCGTCTTCAACAAGGTCAGTTTAACCCTCGACAGAAACCCATCAGCTGACGCAGCGCAGTGACYTCACTCCTTTAACTTCCTGTTTCAGGAGAACATCCTCTTCCTGGAGGCGGAGCTTCAAGTGGACAGGCCTCGCCCACAGACGGACAAGGATCAGCTGATCAGATCTTCATCAGCGAAGAGGAAGAGCTCTGAGCTGGACACAGCCGAGGAACAAGAGTCCACCACCAAACGGACCTTGATGTTCCCTTCCTCCTCTCCTCTGGAGGCGGGGCTTGGGACTGAATGGGAGGCGGAGCTACAGGTGAGGCAGCGGCAGGAGGAGGAGGACCGCCAACTGGCTCTGCTCCTGCAGAAGCAGCTGGATCAGGAGGAGAGACAGAGAGCCACCGACAGGAGGAAAGACTCCTCCAACGCCTACCTGCTGCGCCACCACAAAGGAGGGAAGGAGGGGGCGGGGCTTTCTAACACACCTGGAAGAGGTTCCAGCAAATCTGCCAGAACTACCACTAGCTGCTCCTCCTCCTCCTCCTCCGCGACCAGGAGGAGCATTAGACAYACGACTCTGACTGAGATCTTTTCTCCTCCTCGCTCCTCTTCATCCTCCTCCTCCTCATCTTCCGCTCAAACAAACAGTAAAGAATAAAAACAATTTTCAGAGAGATGTTTTATTTTGAAAGGGTTGCATTTCCACCTGTTCAGGTTGTTTTCATCGTTTAATGTTCGGTTTCTGTTCATCAGTTCTGCCATGTTTAGTTTGTTCTCATGAGGGCGGGGCTTAAACCAAAGAGTCACATGATTCCTGTTTCCACTGTGACACATGAACACACAACATAGGTCACATGACAGGAAGTGCCCTGTGACGGAACGGTCTCTGTCAGAACCTTTATTATCATTAAAATTAAAGTATTGATCAGAATCGCCTGATGTTCATTATTGATCTGTCCGGATTCATCAAACGGACCGGTTCTGGACCAGGTGTGGGCGGAGCGTCGTGGTTCTGGACCAGGTGTGGGCGGAGCTTCGTGGTACTGGATCGGGTGTGGGCGGAGCGTCGTGGTTCTGGATCAGGTGTGGGCGGAGCATCATGGTTCTGGACCAGGTGTGGGCGGAGCATCGTGGTTCTGGATCAGGTGTGGGCAGAGCATCGTGGTTCTGGACCAGGTGTGGGCGGAGCTTCGTGGTTCTGGACCAGGTGTGGGCGGAGTGTCATGGTTCTGGACCAGGTGTGGGCGGAGTGTCGTGGTTCTGGATCAGGTGTGGGCGGAGTGTCGTGGTTCTGGACCAGGTGTGGGCGGAGTGTCGTGGTTCTGGACCAGGTGTGGGCGGAGTGTCATGGTTCTGGACCAGGTGTGGGCGGAGTGTCGTGGTTCTGGACCAGGTGTGGGCGGAGTGTCGTGGTTCTGGACCAGGTGTGGGCGGAGTGTCGTGGTTCTGGACCAGGTGTGGGCGGAGTGTCGTGGTTCTGGACCAGGTGTGGGCGGAGTGTCGTG